AGTTGGTCTCCCAAGAGACGCGAGGCCGGGTACTAACATCTGCTGACCCAAAGCCGATTGATCAGGCAGTCGAGAAATTCCAGTCCCACGCCGAGGTCACATACCACCTGTTGCCGCTGCCATCAGGGGCCAAGCGGTCGGCAAGTGTGCCACGTGCCGCTCCAAAGAGCAAAAAGCCAAAGACAAAACCAGGACCAGGGCCCAACGCAAAGGGTGCGCCCAAAGGGTCAGGGAAGATTGACATACCTGCCAATTGCGTGACCCGCACGGACGCTAACCAACCAATCTGCTTTGGGTACAACAGGAAAGTGTGCCCGCTGCCGCCGTGGTGCCCATGTGTGTTGGAAGCAGGGTTGCTTTGGCAAGTATCCCTATCCAGACTGTGACAAGCACGAGTGACTAGGCTCCTTGCCTGGTCACGACGCTGCTGAGCACGGGCAAAGTCAGGGGTGGCAATCTTCCTTTGACCTTGTTGACGGGCCCACTAGCGCTAATGCCATAGCGCAGCAGAGCCTTACCAGAGCGGGCCAAGCCATCTGGTTCTGCTAGCAATCATGATCGCAACGCGTTCGGATCGCGTGGCTCCATCGGCCAAGCTGCTGTTTGCCACACGGACAGCCATAAGAACATTGCATCATCAGATTTGCATGTGTGGAATTTTAAGTTTTCGCTGCCAATGCCTTTGTTAGCGCTGCAGCCAGTGAATTTTTCCGTGCCGTCAGCAGAGTTGCTGTTTGTTGAGGTTTTTGCAGGGCAAGCCACCTTGTCGCGCGAGGCATCTCGACAAACACCTATCACCAGTCAATCCTGCTGGACCTGGTGTGCAATGCAAACATCGGGGCCATACACTTGGCCCCACCCCGAAAGGCAGTTTCTCGTGCTTCGGAGCAGGCACTTCCGTCTAGCGCGCAGCATGCTGACAACAAGCCGTTGAGGTCTGCGCAGTACTTGCTAGGGCGTCCGCACCTGCAAGCAGCAGACGCAGCGCAAGTGGCAGCGACTAATAAGTTGTATGCTTTCACGCTGGTTGTAGCAGCCATTGCGGTCACTCGGCGTAGTATTGTGAGTGTGATCAACGCGTCAAACTCGCACTTTTGGACAGTAGTAGAGTCGCTTGCAGACACATGCCCAGAACTTAGCCCGCTCTGGGCGCAGCTGGAGGATGTGGCCCTTCAGGCCTGCATGTTCGGCTCTGGCCAAGGCACCTGGATTACCTTGCGTGCCACGAAGGGCGTCTACTCTTCAATGGCCTTGGCGTGCAATGGCAACCACGGTCACGATCAAGGTGCGCTAGACCTTGTGTGCCCCAAAGAGCTTTGCGAAGCCATGGTTAGGTGCCTTGCGTGCGCGTGGCAAGCGCGGGGAACCACTGTCCCCTCTGCTGCCTTGCAACCCAACAGCGTCACTGCCAGACACACAAGGCAATTGGCCTTACCGCCGTTGCTAGCCGAGTACTGGTTGGTAACAAGGCCCGAAGTAGCCAGGCAGTTTGAGTCCTTTAAGCAACTCAAGGCCATTCCAATGCAGCTTGAAAAAGGGGGTGATAACGGAATGCCGCACACGGCAGGCGACAGCGCGCTTCAGCATTCATCCCTCGAACCCCCATTCATCAGGTTGCCCAAAGGTTGCAACAAGAGAGCGAGTCTCAGCCTGGAACAAGATATTACGTTGAACCACCGCTAAAGCATGGCGAAGACCTAGTTGGAGTCTACCGAGGCTTCCCCCAAACCATAGATGCCGCCTTGAAGTTAAGACACCCCGTGGACGCTGCGTTTCCCTTGCCAGACATATTACTAAGGAGCATTTGCCGAGTTCTTAGCTTGGGGCCCAACAAGATTGCAGAACAAAGGATTGCCAAGTGCAAGGAAATTCTGGCTCTCAGGGAATCTTTTGCGAACCCAGGAAGAGCAGCTTAGAGCCACCTGGAGCCCCTCGGTAAGAGAGGTTCTTGGATCAAAGCAAACGCTTTTATGGGAACGCTTGTTAGAACAAACTGGTTACCCTGATGCCAAAGTCGTGACTGAGGCCCGTGAAGGCTTCAGTCTCGTGGGCCCAGCGCCTCACTCAAGCGTGTATCCATGGGGCTACACTCCGGCCAAAATGACTCCCGAACAGCTTCAGCAACAGGCTGTGTGGCGGCGCAGAGCCGTCGTGGCAAAGTGCCGCCCATCCAAGAGTCTGGACATGGATCAGGAGTTGTGGACACAGACGCTGAGTGAAAGGGACAAGGGGTGGTTGAAGGGGCCTTTTTGCTCTGAGCAGCAAGTGTCCCAATATCTTGGCCACGAGACTTGGATATGCACTCGCAGGTTCCCTTTACAACAGAAATCCAAAGTGAGAATCATAGTCATGAGATGTTGTGCGCAGTCTGAAGAGTTTCGGGTAAGGCTCTCAGACGGCAGCCACTCGCAAGGCTCAGTGCATCCCGACTGGGGCCAAGACCTGAGTCTGCTTGGCCGCACGCTTGATTTGCGATCGGCGTACAAGCAACTGCCAGTAAGCTCCAAGCAGAGCTGGGCAGCAGTGTTGTGTGCATGGAATCCGGCTGAGAGCAAGCCTCAATACTTTATCTCTCAGGCTCTACCGTTCAGTGCCACATCAAGCGTTTATGCATTCAATCGGGCGGCAGCATCTCTTTGGCACTTAGCAGTAGAGCTAGGGGACTGCTGGGTAACTCATTACTTTGACGATTACCCCTCGGTAGAGTTGACTCGCGGGGCTAGTTCTAGCAGAGTCTTTCTTGAAACGTTGCTCAAAGCGCTTGGGTGGGCCTTTGCAGAAGGAGGCAGCAAATCCCTCCCTTTCAACAACAAGTTTCAAGTGCTTGGTTTGATTGTAGACCTGGGGGACTCGGGCAAGGGACAAGTTACCGTGTCAAACAAACCCGAGAGAGTGCAGAACATTGCAGAAGGTTTGTGTGCCATCTTGAACAGGCAAGCCATGCTTGCCTCGGAGGCATCATCCTTGCAGGGGCAACTCAATTTCGCGCAAGGCCAGCTCTACGGCTGCACGCTCAAGACGGCCATGGCGTACTTGTCTGAAATCTCCAACCGGGGATGGAGGGCTTCAGACTTAGAACTTCTCCCTATGGTGGTCACGTATGTCTTGACCACGCTGCGGACAGCCCCACCTAGGACGCTGTCTGTGTGTGACGTAGAGACCCCGGTACTCCTCTTCACAGATGGCTCCTACGAGCCGGAGCGAGGCGGCTACGTGTCAGGAGCTGGCCTTGTGTTTGTCGACCAAGTGCGTACAGGAGGTGGTTGTCCCTCAACGCCTAGTCGACGCTTGGGCAGGTCAATGCAAAAAGCAATTGATAGCTTATATAGAGCTGTGGCCGCCGGTGGCTGCATTGACAGTGTACGGCCAGCAATGGCAAGGCCGGAGGCTCGTCAGCTTTATAGACAATAATTCAGTGCGAGATGCCTTGACCAAAGGCGCATCACCTGTTGGGAGCTTGTTTGCAATGTTGGCCTCAGTGGCGCTAGCCCTCTCGCGACACAACATAATGTCCTGGTTCACACACAGATCCCCTCAGCCAGCAATCCGGCAGATTGGCCCTCCAGGGGCAAAGTGGCAGAGCTCGCAGCAAGGATCCAGGGCCAGGTCATGCCCCCTTTGGAAGTACCCAGCGATTTGATTGACGCATTGTCTCGTGATATCTCGTTCATCGACTGCATGCAAGCTCTCACGTCTGAAGGTGGCGCATGTCAAGGGCTGGAGTGAAAATGGGGAGATGACTGTGAGTGTCGCCGCACACTGGCGCATGGGGGTCACCAGCGCATTTGGTGCAGGCCAGTTTTCGACCCCATGCCTTTGGCAACGCGCGACGGAAGAAAAGAAGAGCAGTTGCCATGTATGCAGATCGTGGAAGAGGCACAGAGTTTGAGGCATGGCGTTGCAAGGCACCATCATGTTTGGCCTGTGCTGTGCTGGGGTCACTTTGTTGTTGAGATGGACGCCCTCACCGCAGGTGATAGTCCTATTTAACACAACAAAGGCAACCCCTCAATTGTGTTGTGTTGTGCACATTGCTTATAAACATGATGGTTGAACATACTTGTGGTGCCAAATGCTGGGCTCTAAGCGTGGGAACCTCTAGTTGTCAGTCGCGACACCCGCCCGCCCTCCCTGCTACACCTATTCTCATGGCGCCCAAACTGAGCGCTGAGGAGACTACAGCAGCAGGCGAGAAGCATGAGACGCAGAGCCCCGCCGTGTCAGAAGCCCGCAATGCCTCTGCAAGCGCGCAGCCCGTGGAATGCGGCTTCTGCTGGACTTTCCAGGCAGCACGCAACAAAAGCAGCCGCACCACGGCCTGTCCAACATCTCATGTGTGCCGCATATGCTTCTCCACCTTCACGTCTTGTAGTTGCCGTTGAAGGGAGATGACTGTGAGTGGCGCATTTGGTGCAGGCCAGTTATCGACTGTGAATGTCGCCGCACACTGGCGCATGGGGGTCACCAGCGCATTTGGGGAGGCCAGTTTTCGGGAGATGACTGTGAGTGTCGCCGCACACTGGCGCATGGGGGTCACCAGCGCATTTGGTGCAGGCCAGTTTTCGACCCCATGCCTTTGGCAACGCGCGACGGAAGAAAAGAAGAGCAGTTGCCATGTATGCAGATCGTGGAAGAGGCACAGAGTTTGAGGCATGGCGTTGCAAGGCACCATCATGTTTGGCCTGTGCTGTGCTGGGGTCACTTTGTTGTTGAGATTAAAGCATCCAACATCAAGAGCTCAGGTAACCTTTGATTGGTGGCGGCTTGGGGCTTTGAACCCTCCGTTCTTGTAGAGTGTAAAAGAACACCTAACCACCAAATCACCAGGTTCCAAACCACCAAGAGGAAGCCTGGTCAGCTGGAACAAATGCCAAAATTCAGTTAAATGCTTCGCACCGTTGGATTCAGATGTGTCACCTTCACCATGGAAATCTCTTGACGGTCGGCCCTTCTGAATCGAACGCTTCCGGGCGGTTTTCGCCTTCGATATTCGCACCAAGGAGTTGAAGATTGCGGCTGAAGGCTTCGAAGCCTTCGAGTCGAAAGGATGTGAGGAACGCTCAAAGGCAAAGGTCGGACAAAAAAAAGCTCCTGCCGGGCGGTATTCAAACCGTTTTGGTGGAACGGCCTTTCATGCCCCCTGCGATTGGGGTCTTTTAAGCTTGACAGACCTCAAGTGACCTTGGCCTCATAATCCTGAGTCTTTGCAGCGGATTGCGGGTGTCTTCTGGAGGCGCTACCGATAGGCACTGAAAGCTCCCTGTCCGCTTGCAAATGACCAGGAATCTCGTGCTGGGTAAAGTGTAGGTCCCCCAATACCCTTTTACTAGAGGGTTCCCCTACTGAAATAGACTGCAGAAAAAAGGGTACCTTATTCTAGCCTCGGACCTAGATAAGTTCGTTCAAATCCGTCAGCTGGTTCAGTCGCTTTGGACCGCTAAGCTCTCACAGGTCTCCATCGGTCATTACTGAAAACACATCAGGTCACTCAGGTCAGAAGACCAACGGACGGACTACCTAAAGCGCCCAAAGGCTTTGAACAAGCTCAAATGGTGGAACATGCATTTAATGCGGTGGAGAGCTCGCCCTTGCAACGGCTGAGCAGTTCCCAACGTGGCACCTTTGCATGGGTGCTTGCTTGATGTGAGCATGTTTGTTGCAAATCAACGAGGGCATCAGCAAGCTTGGCAATGATCAGCCCGCACTGGCTACGTTTTCAGGCACTAGGAGTTGAACGGATTCCAAGCCTGCGAGTCGGGTGGGGTTGAAGGCTGGTTCCACAATGGTCATCATCACTACTGCTATTGGGTTGATCTTTAGACTTTAACTTTTCAGATTCCCCTCATAGTTCCTTTTAACCAGCAAAAAGGCGTCAAACTGTTTGCTGGCAAATCTACGGCACCCAAGTATCCCTCTAGGTAAACTGCGGAATGAAAGCGAACCTGGAAGGAGACACATGCTTCGACATGGTCTTAAGCTCCAACTCATTGCGTAAGAAATCCTCATGGTAAACCATCAGCTAGGTGGGTGTCTTTTTTGCGTGTACCCTTTTTTAAACGGACACCACGAATTTCATTGGACGCGTTCAACCTGGAAAGCCATCCACAGTTCCCCGTCCTCTCGCACCACTGGTGTGTGTTTTGGGGGCATTTGGTTTGCTGTACTGCCGGCTTGGATACACAACCATATATTTATATAGATCTATACACTCTCCGTGATCACATCTTCCCCACCTTTCTTCATGTGGGTAAGTATTTGTTTATATATTTTTTAGGGCGCCCCTCCAAAAAAGTTGTCCTTTTGGTTTTCCTTGAACCCCCCCAGAACCCCCCCACAACAAAAGAATTGGATAGTTCTGTTTACCTAATTGTCCTAACAAGGGTACTCGCTACATAGGGCAGCAACTACCCTCAACCCCCCCCCCCCCCACAAAAAGAAGAAAGAAACTACAGACCCAAGGGAGGCGGCTTCTGCATCTTTCAAAACCGCGGCTTGCAGGCCATGGCGCAAAGACGGGCGCAAAGTCTTTGCGCCTGCCCCAGTGACTTCCGGCGCTCCTTTGGGCGCTCCTTTGGGCGCTCCTTTTGCCTTTCGCGCGGCGCAATGCGCGGCTCAAAGTCCATGGGGCTTCCAACGTGAACCAAGTTACAGGGGTGTTATTGGGCTCCTTTGTCCTTTCTGTGGTTTTCTTGGAATATTTTGAGCCAGAGTGAGCTGCTCTTTTGGTGGGGTGATGTTTGTGGGCTAGACAGTTTTTTCCCCCCGTGGGCTTAAACAGCACCTGTGTTTAAGGGACGAGCGAGCGAGCAGAGGATGACCATCCCACTTGCCAACGAAACGAGCAAAATGGAGGTGTCCAAGCACCAGCCAGTCACCTTTTGGTCCACTTGCTTTTGTGAGTTCCCTTTGGGGTGATGTTCAAAGGAGACCAGGAGCTCAGTTTTATCACTGCACCCGCGTCCTTCCTTGCGCTACAGACAGGCTTGCTCCCCTTTGTGATTCCAAAAAGAGTGTTCGAGTGAGGCACACACTGAAATCACGCCAGAAGCTGGGAGACAGGCAAGCTGCCATGGTTTCAGGAGATCACGGCTGTTTCGATGGGCGCCCGAACTGCGAGAACTATTTGCTGCATTGAGCTCACCAGCCACAGAGTTCCAGTTTGGGGCATCTCCATGTGATGAACTGGCGTTGCGACAAAGGCTGTGAGACTCTCAGGCCTCAGCAGGACCTCAATTTGTCGAGATGCCTCTGACTCATGCAGGACCCCCTGGAAATTTCGATTTCGCCCTGCGACTTGAGGTGCGAAATCGAGGTGAAAGAGGTCGCCTTCGATATGCATGATGAGAAAGTTGCGGCCTAAGATTATTTTCTGAGGAAAAGTACCTTGGGTATCGGAGATGTGTGTGTGTTGGGGTTTCATACAAATCGCTCTCGAGCAACCAAACAGGTAGACCGCTCTTAACAGATTCGCATAGCAGCAAGTCCACTGTTGATTTCTTGTGTTTGGTTTTGCTTGGACAATGAGCTGGAAGGCAGAACCCAGTGGTCCCAGGCTTTTCGCCCATGTAAGTAACCCTTACAACTATTTTCCTTGTGGTTTTTACAGAAAGCAGGAGATGCCCAGTTCTGTGAATGTCTCGAATCATCACTTGGTGTCGTTGAAAAAGCATCCCACACCTCATTGTAATCCCCCCCCGTTATTTTAGGATGGTACAGGCGCTGTTTTAAACGCAGAGGATATGATTTGTGGGCCAAGGGCTCTGCGCAAGTCCCAGCCCAGGTGACGGCTGCTGTTGCAAGAAACACCTTTGAGCTTGCTGGTTCCATAAGGGGAGTTGGAATGACCCCAAACCCTCCTGTCCGGTTTCCTGGGGCAGGTTTGGGTTCATTCCGAACATTGTGGTCATTCCAGACTGCTGAAAAGTCTTTGGGAAGAGGAGTCGTTTTTTTCTGTGTTTGTGTCTAGTTTGCTTTTATCCGTGGGGGTAGTGGAAGACTGAAACTTGCAACTGAGGTTCAGGAAGATCTGGCAGATCGCTTGATCGCCTTCTTGGATGAGGGTGAGTTCCTGCTGCTCGTTCTTCCGCCTTGTTTTGTCAGAACCGCCCTGGTCCGCAACCACGGCCAACCACGGCACACACACACAGAAGGGGAAAGATGATCCTTGAATGAGTTGTTTTTTGTTTGTCCCCCCGAAGCAGTTTGTAGGTAATATACGAGTTGGTTGAAGGATGTGGTCAGAATTGTCTGGTAGTTTCTCATTGATTTGCCCGCTTGAACCAGCTAGATTCGCTAGGCGAGTAAATATCTGCCCCAAGTCCTGTGCTTTGGGTTGCTGTCTTTTGAACTGTCCAACCCTCGGTATGGTAGCAAAACACCATGTGCTTTCCTCAGCCCCCTACAAAAAAGCAACCACGCCAACAAACACAAACTAGACCACGGTTGGCCCGAAAGCATAACATCGCAAGCGAGGTCGGCCCAACGCTGCAGAATGCGTTCTTTTTCCCTCCACGAAGCATTTGTGAAGCAAGCGCGAGACAGCACCAGGCAAGGTGCTCTGCGCTAACTGGTCGGTGCAAGTTGGTCTGCGCAAGTTGCTCTACGCAAGTTGCACTGTGCAAGTTGCTCTGCGCAAGTTGCTCCGCGCAAGTTGCTCCGGCAAGTTGGTCCCTGCAAGTGGCTCCCTGCAAGTTGCTCTGTGCAAATTGCGCTCCCTGCAAGTTGCTCTGTGCAAGCTGCTCTGTGCAAGTTGCTCTGTGCAAGTTGCTCTGCGTAAGTTGCTCTGCGCAAGTTGCTCTAGGCAAGGCGCTCTAAACTGGTCGGTGCAAGTTGGTCTGCGCAAGTTGCTCTGTGCAACTTGCTCTGCGCAAGTTGCTCTGCGCAAGTTGCTTTAAAATGCAAGTTGCTTTAAAATGCAAGTTGCATCTTGCGACGCCCGCCCGCGGACCAGGGAGGAATCGAACCCGCGACATGCCGGTTCCGGGAGCAGGCGCGCGAACCACGAGACAACTCCCGAGGACCAGTTCGAACAACAAAAGTTGCAAAAACCATGGGTTTTTGCACCTCGACCACGCCGATCCCCGCAGAGGGTCGCGCGAGCAGGATAGAAATCGCAAAAAACCATGGGTTTTTGCACCTCGACCACGCCGATCCCCGCAGAGGATTGCGCGGGCACCGCAGAATTCGCAAAAAAAAACATGGGTTTTGGCACCTCGACCACGCCGATCCACGCAGAGGGTCGCGCGAGCACCGCAGAAATCGCAAAAAAAAACATGGGTTTTTGCACCTCGACCACGCCGATCCCCGCAGAGGGTCGCGCGGGCAGGTTAGAAATCGCAAAAAACCATGGGTTTTTGCACCTCGACCACGCCGATCCCCGCAGAGGGTCGCGCGAGCACCGCAGCAATCGCAAAAAAAACATGGGTTTTTGCACCTCGACCACGCCGATCCCCGCAGAGGGTCGCGCGGGAACTTTAGAAATCGCAAAAAACCATGGGTTTTTGCACCTCGACCACGCCGATCCCCGCAGAGGGTCGATTTTCGTGTAGTGTCGTCGGCACTACCCCGCCGCCCTAAGAAGAGATTTTAACTCCTCGCAAGTCAATTGCACTTGACTCCTTGCACTTGCAACTTGTACTTGACTCCTTGCACTTGCAACTTGGACTTGACTCCACGCACTTGCAACTTGCACCTGACTCCTTGCACTTGCAACTTGCACTTGACTCCTTGCACTTGCAACTTGCACTTGATTGACTCCATGCGCAGCTCGCAATGACTCTCATGACTCCTTGCAATGACTTCTTGCAATGACTCCTTGAAATGACTCCTTGCAATGACTCCTTGCAATTCCTTGCACTCCTTGCAATGACTCCTTGCAATGACTCCTTGCAATGACTCCTTGCAATGACTCCTTGCAATGCAATGACTCCTTGCAATGACTCCTTGCAATGACTCCTTGCAATGACTCCTTGCAATGACTCCTTGCAATGACTCCTTGCAATGACTCCTTGCAATGACTCCTTGCAATGACTCCTTGCAATGACTCCTTGCAATGACTCCTTGCAATGACTCCTTGCATGACTCCTTGCAATGACTCCTTGCAATGACTCCTTGCAATGACTCCTTGCAATGACTCCTTGCAATGACTCCTTGCAATGACTCCTTGCAATGACTCCTTGCAATGACTCCTTGCAATGACTCCTTGCAATGACTCCTTGCAATGACTCCTTGCAATGACTTTCATGATGATGATTCCTTGCAATGACACCTTGTAATGACTCTCATGAGAACAACTCAAGTGAACCCAGCGGAAGAACCCTTCGCCATGCTTTAGGGAAAAAAGAAAAGAAGAAACAAGCGTAAAACACGCCACAGTGAAGAACACCATGGTTGGCATTGACTTTTTGGAGGCTTTTCATACGATCTGAACATATCAGTGGATGCCTCCAGAGTAGAACCGTCGAAGTCCCTAGTTCTTATGCAGAGAGACTGATCTGGGGCTGGGTGCTTAATGCGCAGAAAGCACAGGTGGGAAACACGATGGGTCCTAGGTGTCCTTTTCGGAAACTAGTTGGGTTTCCCTGGTAAATGGAAAAGGACCATCTAAACCAGTGCCATCTATGTTTCAACAAACTAAACTGAAAAGGACACCTATGGATGGGCCCCGTTCTTTGCAGCTTGATTGCCAGTGAGGGCCCGGGGTTTTGATTCCCATGCAGAGCAACTAGGTCCTCCAGTAGAGAGGTTAGAATCAGGGTACCTTTTTTTCTGTTGTCTATTTTAGTAGGGGAACCCTCCCCCAAAAAAGGGGAGAGAAGGCACTACTGGGGCACCTAGGCAACCAACTGTGATGTCTCACGTCACTCGTTTCTCTTTGGGGTTGCCTTGGAATAATCCACACACACCCACCCCTCGCGGGGAAGCTTCCTGAGAGGACCGGAGATCGTTTGCACTGGATGGCTCCGGCTTGCCTCCATCCGCTTCCGGAACCAAAGGAGCTCCCCCCCACTTCCTGAGTGGATTGGAACCAAAAGTCCAAACCATGCAAAGCTCTACAGGTACGGGGGACTCCTAAAGTTTACCAAGTCCATCACGGAAGGGCCCCTGAAACCGTAGTCTATGGGAAGCCGCGGCTTCCCTGGAAGGTTTTCGATCGACGCGGCCAGGCGTCGGCCTTGACCACCAACGGGTACCCGCGGGAGCCCGGTGACAAGGAGCGCGGCGTGGCAAACGCGGAAGCGCGGCAACTTGGGTTGTTGGGCGCGGGGATTTGGAGTCTCCTTGTGGCTGCAAACGTGGGGGGCATGATCCATGTTCATGTTTTGTTGTTTTAGTGTTGTATTTGTTTTTATTTTGTTTGTTTTTTGTTTTTGTTTTGTTTGTTTGGGGGGGGGTTAACACGGTGTCAAGACTCATGGGACTGTTCATTGGATTTTGTTTTTGTTGAGGTGGACATGGGGTCGTGACCCATGGGATGTTTCATGGGATTGTGTTTTTTATGGGGTGACCAGGTCTTGTGTAAGGGTGGAAAGATTTGAGATGGATTCGCTCGATTGTGAGACACACCCTGCTTGAGGGTGTGTCTTCAAAGTTTAAGTGCCTGCAAAATCCCTGAACGGTGTTGTTTTCCTCTCGGCTTCTCCTTCCAAACCATGTGAAAGGGTTTGTCCAAACCTCTGTAGCCCAGCAAGAGACAGTTGGCACCACGCCTTGCCATGCGTCGCTCAAGCATTTTTGACGGCAGCGAGTCTCACGCACGCCAGGCATGGCGTTCAAAACAAGTACTACGAGCAGCTTCCAATTGAAATGCCGCATGCCATATCTCACACATGCCATGCCCAGACATGGCCAACAACCTGCAGGACCATGCTGTTTAGCCCTTCAACGCGTCACCTCTCGCGCTTAACCCCGGGGTAAGCTGCCCATTGCTGCAAAGTGCCGGATCCTTGCCCGTTCGGAATGCTAAACAACCTGCATATTGAGCAAGCATGGAAGGGTCCAAAACATTGTTCCGCGCAAATAGCAAACACACCCATGCAGGTTCCCTTCATGGGGGGGGTTCCCCTCTCCATTTGTTTGTTCGCAACCCACCCCCAAATCCCTGGCAGCTGCCCCTAGAAAAATCACTTGGGCACTCCAGGTGCATAGCGAACAGAAGTTCCAAGTTAGAAGGGGCACCACATCTTGTTTGCCCCTCATTTCCAGGGAAACCACCTTTAAACTTAATTTGTTGGAGAGTGATGAGTAAATGTTGGGGAGTGAATCATTTTGAGTTTTTTTTTTCTGTGTTCACTCCCTTTCTACTCGCTATCTAACGCTTGCCCCACCGCACAGCTCGGTGGATGGCTCTCCGCTGGCGCGTGGTCGGCGCCTCGGGGCTCCTGGCGCGGCATGGTGTGGATCTCGGCTCCGAGCCTTGCGCGGAGCGGGTGGCCTACGGCAGCCTCCTCCAGGAGCTTCAGAGGCGCGGCCTTCGGCGTCTGGCGCGTTTTTGGCGCAAGGCGCCTTTGGACGGAGAGGTAAACCAAGGGAAACAATTGTATAGGGCTGCTTTTTGGAGATGGAGAGGTTTTCCCAAGAGAAGCAAGGATTTATGGTTTTTGGCGGCTTTTTGGAGATGGGGCGGCTCGCTTTGGACGGAAAACAATCCGTCTATGGATCTCATTCAAATCAGAAAAGTTGTAGGTAAACCAAGGGAAAGATGGCCGGTGTGGTTTCCTAAGATGGGTACCGCATTTTGGTATCCCAGATCCATTGACCTGAGTAGTAGGCAACCAAGGGAAAGAAGTATGTGTGCGTGTTCTTTAAGTGGGTACCCCAGATGTTTGTGGTTTTAAAGGGAAACCAAGAAGCGAAGCATGAGGATTTCGGGTCCAAATCCTTTCGACATCAACCTCAATTACAAATGCGAGGGTGGGTGTCCCTGTGTTTAGTCTGGAGGCAAACTTCCCTTATACAGGTTTAAGCCACAATCAAAACTCGGGTAGATGAAGGTTAGAGATAATCCCAACATATCCCAACCAAAGGGTGCAGCCTTCGCAATGCGTGGTGTTCGGTACGTGGGTGTGGGGAGTCAAGCCACTTTTGGTCCAGAGTTTGTCATGCCCAGGTCCCCCCGCCCCGGCCCCGACTTTGGGCAAGTGAGGATCCATTGAAGGGTGCCAGCCGCCAGTTTATCCAACTGTGTTCCTTGTTTGGCAGGGTTTGAAGTTTAAGAGACCAACCAGCTGAAAAGGTCCTTAAATTTTGACATTTGTCGTTTTGGGAGGATGTGTGCTTTTCGACTAGCCCACATTGCCACACCGGGGACACAAACTTGGTCAAGGTCCCTCATAAAATACCATGTGGGCCAGCAAGCAAGTCAGACAAATACCGCCTGATTTAGAGGATGCCCTTTCAAAGCAGTTGGTTTTTGGACCCTTTAGGAAATCTTGTTGGTGGACGCCCTTTCTGGCTAGGAGCAGTGAGTGATATTTTTCAGGTGGCCCCTCCTTTGGGGAGGTGAACACAAAAGCTGGGATGCATCTAGCTACAGTAACACCCAGTCGGCTCCGTTTTTTGGTTTGCATGTTGCATGTTGTTTTGTGGCCTTGTTTCCTGGGTGTTGGATAGCCCATAGTTCTCGAATTTTCCCAAATGAAACTGGTTAAATATAGAGAGAGATGTGTGTTTGTATATGTGTTTGTTTTTTTCAACACCCCGGTTCCAAACACCCCGTTTGTGCAAAAGTACAGGTTTGAGGAACCCAGCCAACCCCATGATCCCCCAACCAGTTTCCCAACCATGACTTGCGATCGGTGCGATAGGGAGTGTGGTTGAAAGAACCTGAATTTCCCCTCAAAAAGGGTCCACCACCAGTTGGATGGTTTTTGTCGGGGTCCTTCCATTTCTCATTTCATACTGGGCACCAGCAAGATGAACTGTGAGCCTGGGTGAATAATAATGACCTCACGCGACCTCACCCCAAATGCTGGTTTATGTGGGGAATACCCGCCCAACCACCGCAAGTTTCAGGTTGGTGAAATGGGTATGGGTCAAAATTAAACCACCAGGGGACCACAGGTTTTAGTCATTGTTTCCATTTACCAGGGTGCCATTTTGGGGTTACCCTATTTTTGACCCACCGCCAAATATTATAATTCACCCAGCGCCCAGAAGATTCGAGAAAGCCAGGCAGGGGGACCGCCTTCAGTTCCGCAAGCTCTCGGGGGATGGACCAGAGACTGGCTGGGTGAGCGTGCGCCTTAAGGGGAAGGCCTGGAACATGTCTTTTGGGCAGTGGCCAGGGACCGTGTTTCATTTTTTAATTTATTTATTATTATTATTATTATTATTTTATTTATTTATTTTTTTTTTGGGGGGGGGGTGTTTTTTGCTCTCTTTTGTTGTTTGCTGTGTTTTGTTGCTTGCTGTCTTTTGTTGCTTGCTGTTTTTTTTTGTTTAGCTTGTAGGTTTTATGCTGCAACCTCAAGGGGCAATCCCTCACGGGGTCCGACCCGATTCCCCTGGTTGAAAGGAGCGACTCGTGTCACCGATTTGTCGGGCCATTCTTTCAGCGCAATGTGGGAATCAGCCTATTGGAACCCCTCGTGTGACAACGAGGGGCTCAATGAGAACCAGTTGGCCCCTGGAACCCCCGATGGTTGGGAAATCCATTTCGCACCTAAGAAATCCTGGAATGATTCGATTCCCTGGTAAATACCCAAAAACCATGGTCTTCGCATGGTTTCAAAGTGGTGCGGGAGTTTGTCCATCCACAGACATGGTTGGGTATGCCACTGACCGTTACCCTCTATGCTTCACTATTATTTGCATGTGCCCTAAGGGACATGACCCCTTCAATGCACACCCCCGGACCCTCCAACGGAGAACCCCGACCAATTCCTCAAGGGCCCTTGAGAACAACCAGTTTTGAAGGCCCAAAAACAATCGAGACCCTTTAATTGCTGTAGTTGGGACCGGGTTCACCTCCTGGCAACGGGAAGCCGCTTGGACAACTAGGTCGCTAGGTGCCCTTTCTCAGCCCTTTGTTGGGGGAAGGTTCCCCCACTAACTTAGACTACAGAAAAAAATGGTACCCTCTTTCTAACCTCTCTACTAGAGGACCTAGACTAATATTGCAGGACTTGGTGCTGCCTGAGGGTGACTGGGCCAGTCTGGAGAAAGAGGTGCTGGGGCCTTGGAAAGCTCATGAGGACTTGGGCCAAACTCTGCACGACCTCGCCGTAGATTTTCCGACTCACTCCCTGAGTTCCTGGTCATCCACTTTTTAACACGGCATGGGAAGACCAGTTTGGTTGAAACAAAAACAGGAAAAGCGGCGGAAACAAGCTTCGACATAAAAGCCACTCCACTCAAGCCGAAGTGAGTTGAATTTGCAACTGGAAACTTCTATCTCTTTGTTCTCTTGTGGTTTCAAGTGCCCGACCTTCGAGATCTTAGCCCCAATTTGTTGTTGGAAAACACACGGCTTTTCAATGAAACCCAAAAAAGGTTTAAGGACCTTTTGCTTTGGGTTCTCTTTTGCTACAGGGCTACTAGGGAATTCGGACACTTGACACTGCTAGTTTTCTTTTGCCGCTGGGCTGCCTAGTCTAAATTCTTATGGGCGTGGCTGACGTGACTCGTTTGCGCCATGCCCTGGGGTGTAGGGGCGCGAAAGGGAAAATCACATTTGTGTTGTTTGTTGCTTGGGGGGGTTTCTGAATTCAAATAAGACACCCATGTTCCGCGAAAAAAACCGAACACCGCATGTAAGTTGGGTACTTGCCTGTTACAGGGAAAGCCCGTACTCTTGGCATCAGGACAAGGTGACTGCAGTGCTGTTGGACCCCACGGCACCTCGGCTCTACACCGCCTCCTGGGCGGAAGCAACGGCCGCTTGGCAGCGACCAAGGCGTGGGAAGTGTCACTCCCACAGACGTTTTGTCCGCCCCCCAAAGGGTAGAGCAAGCAACGGAAAGAGAGTTGTGCATCCAACTTGTGTCACCCTTGCTTTTGGTTGAGGTTCGGGAGCCACTAAAAACCAACTGCAAAGGGCTCAGGTCTGGTTGCAACTGGGACATTTGAGCGCCCAACCCCCTCAAGAACGCCTGCGGGCTTGCCGAAGTTGACGCTCAAAACCGATTGCAAATTGTCCGATTTAGTAGGTGGGTTCTACTGGTTCAATTGGGGTAGTAGGCCTACCCAAAACACCATTGTAGCCATGCCGGAC